ACAGGGTATGGAATAGACACAGGATAGTTTGGTGCTGGGGGTGTAATACACTAGAAGGGGAAGGGGAAAGGAAAAGTAGGGCAGATGGGAGAAGAGCTAGGCAGGTTTATATGAGCTAAATGGGACAGAGGCAAATAACGATCTAAGCACAAACGTGGAGCAACAGGGCTCATGGATAGAAAGATTGAGGCATGGTTTGAATGGGTAAAAGTGGGGAAATGATGTTAAGATGCTTGGCTGTCTGTTGAATCTTGGTTCCCCTTGCCTACTATTGTAAAATAGACACTTGAAGGGGGAGAGAGTGGAATAGCCAGAAACATCACCAGAGAAAGCTTGTAAGTCATCTTCATCCTATAACTGTTTGGAATATCTAAAATGGGGCTAGAACTTGCCCAGTGAAGGAGGCTCTCTGCAGAGCCTTTGCATTGCACAAGACCATAGATGGAATCCTGATCCTTATCCAGAAACTTCTGAGGTGGGACATTCCCACATGAAAGGGCAAGCAGACCAGTCTGGAGCAGCTAGAAGAATAGAAGATATTTCTTGAAAGAAAGACCAGCAGAAAACAAACAAACATACAAACAAACAATAACAGCAGTCCAATTGACTCCTACAAGAACAAGCAAATTACTCCCCAGGGAACCATCAAGGCAAGTGGTCAGGTCCCCTCAAGGCAAACCCCCTTCCAAGACTGAAACTCAAATGGAATACACTAACAGGCATATGGTCCTGCTGCTGCCCACGTTGGTCACAGATAAGGGGAAGGAGGGATAAACAGCAATGAAGTTGTGAACTAAGTCCAACCACATTCAATAGACTCATGTTAACCTGGATTGAGACCTGGTTAACCAGCAGTATGACGAGACCTGGGGACTCTTGGGCCCAGGGCCAGGGACATGGCCCCAGAGGACTAGAACTGAGTGTGAAGCATCCAGCTGATACAAAGTGAGGGGGGATATACAAGAACACGCATACTTACAGATAGTGCCCACTTGACCTGGCATCAATGGTTGGATGATCAGAACATGATTAGAGGAAGAAAGAAGAAGTAAAAAAAAGAAGTAACCCACTATAAGTGGATGATCTTGACCTATGCTTGTGGATGCAGTATGACAAAGGAGCAGACAAATCTCTACAGTGAGGTTCATTCCCACCCCCTTGGTACACAGGGTCAACATGGAGGGGGAACTTAGACATTGGCTACCCAAAATGAGGGGACTACAAAGGCAAGAAGTGACCAGTTTATAAGCTTTCAATAGGGAACCTAGCTCCAGAGGATACAAGTAAAGGTAGAACCTCCACTAAATTGTTTCCAACTTGTCTGGATGAAGTTGATAAAAGGTGATGGGGAAAGGACTCCTGTGGTTCAATAGGGAATGATTGCTATCAGGTCTGACAGTGAGTGTTGGAAAGGTAAATGTAAATGTTTGGTAACAAAAGGAGGGGAGTGGCTGATTCTACAGTCCAGGAGTGGAGATCCCTGGAACCATCAAGGGAGAAAAGCTAAGTGTGAGAGTGTCCAGAGAGGCAGTGACACTAGGGGTGGAGGCAGAGGCAATGACATGAACAGAAGGAGCGGCTTCTGGACTCAGGGAGGGAGAGGGGTTGTGGACTCAGGGAGGGAGAACGGTTGTGTGCTGACAGCCAGAGGGCAGGTGTGTGGGGTGTACCCTTTGGGTGCTTGATGATGCATGCAGGGGATTGTGATCATTGCAATGAAACAAAGTATAATAGGATGAATGTAAAGATAATGTTCACCCATGTAAACTAACACATAATTCCCAATTAAAACTTTAAAAAAATATATAGACATTCCTACACAAACAATTGTCTTTCAGTAAGTGTAGAGACTCCCTCATTTACAAAATGTGGGAGAACCATTTAGTTATTCTGGCAAGTTTTCCTCTTAAAAGATAGAAGCAAAACTGGGACAGTTCTTGAAGGGATTAGGCCAAGAATGTGCTACAGATAAAATACACTAGCCTGTTACTTTGGCAAATATTCCTCTTAACCAAATACTAAGGCTTTAAATTGATACAGTCAAGGGAAAATTAGGCCTGACAATCCCTAACACTACACATATTTACACTCTCTCCCCTGCATACCTCTGTGTGACTTTGGGAAAGTTGTAGAAACTCTTTGGCTCCTAGTTTCTTTATCTTTAAAATGAATAAAACACCTTCCTTAAGTAGGTTGTTATGAGGACTAAAATTAGAGAATGTAAGGGTAATGTAAGTAACTCTCTTGACTTACAGTAATAAATAAAACCAACATAATTACAAAAAAAACAAACCAACCAAGAATTTAAAACATTGTTTCTCAATTTTCATACACTCAGATGGAAGACAACTAACTCTTCTTCCAATTTCCTGAATAATGCTGGTCACACAGTTCAGCCTTAATTAGACAGGAAGCATCAATAATCTGTTTATTTGGTCATAAGTAAATCTCAATTTACAGCACATTTCCTTTTGCTAACAATGGTTCTCTCATGAGAGGATAAAAATCAGTAAGTGGCTTTATACCAAGCATTGACAGGCTTTCAAAGCAGGATTCTCCCTGGTGTGATAGTAGAAGAATAACAACTTTAGATGGTTATTCATGGTGGGACTATTATTGATAGCTCAAAAGAAGAGCGAAAGCTCTTTTGCTCTCTTTTCAGAAACCAAAACCAAAGCCTATGCCATCTTACCTTAAGCTTACGCCGGGCATTGAATTCTTGGAGCTTCTTTTGCGCAGTATCCATGTGTACAAAATTGGCTGCTTTGCCAGTGACCCATGGGTGCTGGAGAGCTTGAAAGGTAGTCAACCGTTTCTTAGGATCCAAAACAATTAATTTTCTGACCTGAAATAACAAAGAATCATAGACTTCTTTAGGGAGATTTTTATAGTAACTTGGATTTGTCTCCCAGCTGTGAACTTCCAGGTCTTGTTCTGTTTCCCTAGTGGTACCACAGATAGACATTTGGGAAAGAAAAAAAAAATTTTTTTTAGCCCCCTCAGCAGTCACTGTAAGTAGGAATGGTTTCAGGTAACTTTAGTAGCTTAGGGAATCTGGGAAGAAACTGGCGTGTGTCACTAGACTCCAAAGTAGCAAACTGATTCTCCACTGTGGTCAGAGAAATCAGTCTGACTTGCTTGTGGATTACAAGTTCTTTGAAGGTAGATCCAACATCTGAATAATTAATTCTAGGCTGTAGTTTGTAATTGCCTAGAATTCAGGACTTAAAATATTTCTGAATGGTGATGGAATCATCCATGCATCGACCATTCTTTCTGTGAGGATTAAATGGCACAAGAAAAAGGCCAGGTATGTAGTCCCTATGGGATAAGATTTCATGATTCTCGATTTGGTATAATACAGAGACTATATGGAGTCAGGAAAATGATTGAGCCTTGGTGATGCCTCTTATTACTTTTATAATTCTGTTGCTGATGTGCCATCAACTTAGTTCCAACTCATAGTGGCCCTCCATAGGGTTTCAGAGGAGTGGCTAATGGGTTTGAAAAGCTGACCTTTTGGTTAACAGTCCAGTGCTTATCCTATAGTGCCACACCAAGACTTTGTAAGTCTACATAAAGGCATATATGAGTTGAGTGCCCCAGGCTTACATTACTTGCATTTGAATTCCTGTGTAAATAAATCCTTATAAGTACATGATTTAAAACCAAACAAACATGCAATTCTTTCAATAACTTTGGTGGTGGTTATGTGCCAAGGAGGAGTTGGTTCTGACTCATAGCGACCCTGTACAGGGTTTCCAAGGCTGTAAATCTTTACGGGAGCAGAAAGCCTCATCTTTCTCCCACGAAGCAGCTGGTAGTTATGAACTGCTGCCTTGAGGTTTGCAGCCCGATTCATAACCACTACACTACCGGAGCTCCTTTTTCAATAACCTTACCAATGTTGAATTCACAAATGTGGAATGAAAGGAAGTTCAGAGAAGCTGCTGATTTGTTCACGGTCAGAAAACTTGTAATTGGTGACGACAGTATTCCAACTAACATCTATTTTACATTAAAGCTACTACATTAAGGTGGCTCCCAAGGTAGGCAACATCTCTGGGTTCCAGTTTGCCCATGTACAAAATGAGAGGCTTTGGGCTTTTCATGCTTTAAGGTCTAAAGTCTCTTCTGACTCTGTTGTTGCTGTTGCTAACTGCTGTTAAATTGGTTCCGACTCATAGTGACCCTGTCTAGGGTTTCCAAGAAGCAGCTGGTGAGTTTGAACTGTCAACCTTGTAGTTCAAACCAACTTTGAAGTCTAGTACTTAACCTACAGAGCCATATCAGGACTCCTCTTCTGACTCTCAGAATCTAAAAAGAACTGAACGTAGGCTAACAAAATTAGGTAAGTCAAATGAGGATTAAATTCATCTGGTCATCATTTCATTTTCTTCCTGTAATAATTTCAAAGGAATATGGTGGAGTAGAGACTCTATGTTTGCAGAGGACAGATATGTATGACTGCTTAGATTTAATATCGGAGAGAAGGTATAGAAAGGTAAGGATGGTTAAGAGAAAGAATGCATGCCATTAAATAAAAACTGGATGATAGTCACAGTTATCATCTGTTTAAAATGTATAAGAGTAATTCTATATAAATAATATTCATACCTATCCTTATAACATACCTATCCTTTTAACATTTGTGATAATTAGGCACGTTCTTCCTATTTTTCAATCATTATTCTCCTCTTTCACATCATTAACAACCCTTTCTCAAGAAAAATACAAAGAATTTGTGGAGAGTTAATATGTGCCCCCAACTTTCATTGTTGTTAAGTGCCATCAAGTCGGTTCTGACTGATCGTGACCCAATATAGAGTTTTAAAGGAGCAGCTGGTGAGCTTGAACTGCCAACCTTGTGGTTTAAACCAACCTTGCAGTCCAGTGCATTAACCTGCAGCACCACACCAGAATTCCACATGTACTTTTTAATCTTAACAATTGAAAATTGATCAACTAGATTGGAAGGAAATGTGCTGAAGGTCAGAAAGATTCGGTGACTTTATTGGATTATAAACCCCTGCAGTATCAGAGTCCCCCTCTCGGCAGCATGGCATGTAGTCTCTGCTGAGAAAATACCAAATATACTCCTTCAAAGATTTCTCTCATTCTGAAGTTTTATAAATTTATTAACCATTTTTTGTTAGGTGCCATAGAGTTGGTACGGACTCATGGTGACCCTATGCACAACGGAACAAAACACTGTCTGGTCCTGGGTCAACCTCACAATTGTTGCCATGCTTGAGCCCATTGATTTTTTTTTTTTTTTAATGTTTTATTGTGAATTATGTGATAGTTTACATGGGAGAACATTAGTTTTACATTCATTCTATCTTATATTGTCTCATTGCCATGGTTACAATCCCCTCCATGCAATCCTTCCCCCGTACCCCCCAGGTTTTCAGCACACAGAAGCTCTCCCTCTCTGGATCTAAAGTCTCCAGCTGCTCCATTGCTCCATGTCATCATCTCTGGCTCCATTTCAGGCATCACTGCTTCTCTGGGTAGGGTCCCGCTCTCTGCTCTTCTCCCTTGATGGTCCTAGGGACCTCCGCTCCTAGACTGAAAAGTTAATCACGCCCCTCCTTGCTATAAAACATCTACCTTTACATTTCCGACCCTCACAAACAGTCCTGATACCAATTATTCACTATTGTATCACAAGAGACCCGTCTGTATTTCATTGCATCAGCTCCGCCTAGTCAGATTGAATACTACTCACTGGAGATTCTACCTTCCTCCAGGCCCTCTGGATCTAGGTTCCCTCTTGAAAGCTTGTAAGCCTTTGTAGCCCCCCCACCCCCATTTGGTGTAGCCAATGTCCAAGTTGCCCATCCTGTCTACTCTGTGTGTGAAGGGGGTGGGAATGATTCTTGCTGTTAGGACTTGTTCCTTCTTTTGAGCTACTGCTTCCATAGGTGTAGGTCAAGTTCATCAAATTGTATGAGAATACTTTTTTTTTTTTTTTCTCCTCTTCTTTTTACTTCTGGTTGAGCTCTGATCATCCAGTCACTGAAGCCAGGATAAGTGGGTATTATCTGCAAGTGTGGGTGTTCTTATGCATATGCCCTCTCTTCTTATCAGCTGGACGCTTCACTCTCCACTCTAGTCCTCTGTGGCTATGTCACTGACTCTGTGCCCAAGAGTCCCCAGGTCTTGCCACACTGCTGGCTAACCAAGTCTTCACCCGGGTTCACAGAAGTCTATTGAACATTGTAGGGCTTAGCTCACTGCTTCAGTGCTGTTTTTCCCTCACTTCCCCTTATCGGTATCGAGCGTGAGCCCATTGATTTTTACTATGGATTTACTATGATTTAATTTTTTACTATGGATAAAAAGACTAAATAAGTAAAATTATTGAGTTACTTGACACTAGCTACTTAAGATGCATAATGTCACTTAATTCTTGCAATAACCTAGAGGCAGGTACTATTACCATTCTAAGTGGGGAAATTAAATATTGAGATGTTTCAAGCCCTGGGTCCTACTTTTAGGTGTAAAAAAAGGTAGGAGTTGAAATCAAGTGTTTGAGACTTTAAGTAAGCATCCATGGTCTTGTCACTGACTCATTGTTTTATTCAGTAAACATTTATTGAGCCTATAAATCTGTATTAGTAGTACAGTGGATTATGAGCGCTGCTAACTGCAAAGTCAGCAGTTTGAATCTACCAGTTGCTCTGCAGGAGAAAAATGAGACTTTTTGTTCCATTAAAGATTTACAGTAGGTTGACATGAGTCAGAACCAACTCAACGTCACAGAACCACCACCATATATCTGTATGGTACTAATTTCCAGGAACAAATATCTTGTCCTCTCCAAGAGATCTCAAACTATGTAAGTAAGAAAACATTAAAATCATTATACGGAAGTCCAGGGAGCAAAGATGAATATGGTGTAAGAAACTAACAAATTGTGGGAGGGAGGGATTAAGGAAAGGGCAGGCTAAATGCCTTCCAGAGGAGTGTGTGTGTGTGTGTCCATATGTGTGATGTAATGGTGGAGGGAGAAAGAAAATAAGAAGGGCAGGACATGACCAAACACAGGAAATAGCAATAGTCGACATTCAGAGCTGCACTGATGAGGAACTGAAAGTCTGGTGGACTAGGCTGGAGCGAAGGGGGATCAAAGAAGAGTGATACAAAATCAGTATTGGCAACAGATAGGCTGTGACATGTAGGTCTTTTTATGGATTTTAGACTCTATCTTAAGAGCCTTGAAACAGAAGAGTGGCATGATTTATGTTATTTATGCCATCTTTCTGAATTCTGTGAGGGGAATGTATTTGAGAAGGGCAGGAAAATGGGCAAGGAGGTCAGACAAGAGGTTGTTGCAGTATTCCAGGTAGGAGAGGACAGTGGCTAGGATTTTGACAGTAGGGATGGTTGTGAAAAGAAGTAGACAGATTCAAGAGATGTTTACAGGTGAGGAGTCTGATTTGAGAGGAATTGAGATGACACATCCACATATCACACATACTGGCACTCCACCAAATCATATAGGGAAGTGTTGGACCCTACCAGATATGTTCAACAAAAGAACACATGATAAAGAGGAAAAGAGTACTGGAAACCTGGATTGTTACCCTTAAGGTCTCTCTTCTGGGAGGCTGAGTGACCTCAGACTCATTCATCTTTCTGTGTCTTGTCACACTCATCTTTTTAAAATGATGGAAAGACTAGATGACTCGGAAAGTTAACCTTCTATTGTTCAAAAGTCAATTTCTGTGTAAATTTTCTCTAGACAATTCATGTCAAATGTTTCAATCTCTTGCTACCAAAATGACCCCGGTCTGACTCAGTGTGTCACAATAGAACTATGCTCTAGGGGGTTTTCAATATCTGTGATTTCTCAGTAGAATGCAAGGGCTTTCTTCTAAAATGCCTTTGGGTGGATTCAAACTACCAATCTTATAGTTAGTAGCCTCATGCTTAACCATTTATACCACTCAGGGGCTCTATGCTAGCATCAAGCATTATCTACTTTATTTTAAAACAGGTGAACCACCTTCTACAATGTATGTTTCCTAAATGCAAAGTAATGTCAACATAATCTTAAACAAAAAGCAATGAAACAATAATTTTTACTTTACAGTATTGTTGTTGTTGGCATCGAGTTGGCATCATCTCATAGTGGCCCTGTACACAATGAAACACTGCCCGGTCCTGAGCCGACCTCACAATTGTTGCTACCCTTGAGATCATTTCTGCTGCCACTGTGCCAATCCATCACACTGGGGTCTTTCTCTTTTTCTCTAACCTTCCACTTTGCCAAACTTGATGTCCTTCTCCAAGGATTAATCCCTCCTGATAATACATCTGAAGTATGAAAGAGAAAATCTGGCCATCCTGGCTTCCAAGGAGCATTTGGGCTGTACTTCTTCCAACGCCACATTTGTTGTTCTTTTGGCAGTCTGCGGTACTTTTAATATTCTTCTCTACCACTATAGCTCAAATGCATCAATTCTTCCAAGATTTTCTTTATTCACTGTCCAGCTTTCACAGGTGCATGAGGTTACTGAAAATACCATGACTTGGGTCAGGTGCACCTTAATCCTAAAACTGACATTTTTGCTCTTGGACACTTTAAATCATGCAGCAGATTTGCCTAATGCAATTTGATTTCTTGACTGCTGTTTCCATAAGTCTTAAAGGTTGATCTGAGCATAATGAAGTCTTTGACAACTTTCAATCTTTTCTCCTTTTATATGGATGTTATTTATTGGTCCAATGGTGAAGACTTTTGTTTTCGTTATATTGAGCTGCAACGCATACCGAAGGCTGTGGTCTTTGATCTTCATCAGTAAGAATTTAAGATTTTAAGTCCTCATTGCTTTCAGTATTAGTACTGCAGAGAAATTTATTTATAATGCCAGTGATGCATGATGGGACTTGTGTTAATATTAGTATTTTCTTAAGTTTTGTGTTTTTCAGGAAGCAGTGTCATTTTATTTAAAGTATACATGAATCTAGGTATAGCAATCAATATTAAAATAGAATTCTGTATAAATTATGCTTAGATTTATACAGCACTACTGGTTTGGCGCTGTGGGCTAATGCGTCAGACTGCAAAGTCATTTGAACTGCAAAGTCGGTTGTTCAAACTCACCAGCTGCTCCTTGGAAACCCTATACAGGATCGCTATGGGTTAGAATCGACTCGATGGCACTTAACAACAACAACAACTCTGGCATGGCACTGTTGGCTAATGCGCTGGACTGCAAAGTCTGCTTGAACCAGAAAACCGGCAGTTCAAGTTCACCAACTGCTCCTCGGAAACCCTATACAGAGTTGCTATGAGTTGGAACTGACTCTGCAGCACTTAACAATGGCAACAATAACAACTTTCTTAATAAGTAAGCCTTTGTATTATGCAGGCAGCAAAAATTCATTAATACAATGTAATTTTCCATTTGTGATATTTCAGTTGAGTTCAGACATAGATCTATGTTTCATCTATAAAGAAATAGCAGTGGTATGTATTGCTATTAAAATACTTTAAAATTAAAAAGAAATAAGACATTAAGGCAAAAGGGAATATAAATGATTTTAAAGGGCATTACTTACTAATTAATTCAAAAGGGGTATAAGGGATTTGATTTCATTTGTTTCCATTTGCCACACTTACCAAGTCCTTGGCATTTAAAGACACTTCATCCCACCAGGGGGAGATAAAGTAATATTCGCAATTGAGAATTCTTCTGAACATGAACTGATCTCCTCTTTCATCATAAAAAGGTTCAAATCCACAAAGTCTAGAGGGACAAAATATAGGAAATAAGATATTTTGTAAAGCCTAAGTATATTTTAACAAATTTCTGCAGAATATCAAGGCTGTCTTTTTCCAGAGCAAGTATATAATTATCTTGTTACATTTCATTTTTAATTATGTAAACACACAATCATGTCTTCAAGAAATAAGAACAGAAACAAAAGCAAATAAGGATGTCTACAAAGAGTTGTTATAATAGTAATAATTATGACACAAAAATAATAGCTTGCATTATAATTTACACTGTACACAGAACTTTACATAACAGAGACAGAGAAAGAGATACTCAATTTATTTTTTTAAAAAGTTCGAGTATATTATAAATAAATACTCCTAGTGTGGTGCTGTAGGATCAGCACTGGACTGCAAACCACAAGGTCAGCAGTTCAAATCTACCTGCTGCTCCTTAGAATCCCTATACAGGGTCACTATGAGTTGGAATTGACTCGAAGGCACTTTACAACAAAAATAACAATAATACTTATAAATAAGGAGTCTTAGTGTGGTGCTGTAGGATAAGTACTGGGCCTCAAGGTCAGTTTGAACCATAAGGTTGGTGGCTCAAATTTACCAGCTGCTCCTTTGAAAACACTATATAGGATCGTTATAAGTTGGAACTGACTCAATGGCATTGGACAACAACAATTATAATGAAAGAGATTAAGAAGTGGAGAGAAAAGCCTTTTCACTCATTTTCATTCAGCTCTATTTACTGAATTCCACCATAAGAAAGGTGTGAAACATCATAGTTATTTCCATCCCATCCCATGCTTTTTGAGTGAACAAAGACAGGAGCTAAAAACTTCTAACAGGGAATGACTTCAGAAATGTCTTAAAATAGTCTTAAAACACAGTCAGAGATTAGTAATCCAGAATCACTTCATTCCTGAATGTGACACTCACTTTGCTATACCTTAGAGACACTCTGGAGTCTTGGTGTGGTGCTTCAGGATAAGTGCTGGATTGTTAACCATAAGATTGGTTGTTCAACACCCCCAGCTGCTCCTCATAAATCCTATACAGAGTCACTATGAGTCAGAACCAATTTGACAGCACTTAACAACAGATACATTCTATTGTTTACCTTCATCTTCTAGTAAAGGTTAACATAAAAAGTGAAGGGAAAACAAAGGAGTAAAGAAATAGGGAATCATCCTTGGAATCCTAAAGAGAACAAATTTAAGTTGTTGGTCTAGGGCCACTTTGCAGATTTTCAGAAGATCTCAACTAACTAGAGACTGAAAAGAAACTTAAAAAAAAAAAAAAAAAAAGTCCCTGCCAGGGCATGTGCTGAG